CAGGGCTTGGCTGCTGCTACTGCCCTGGGCCCTTTAAACTGCTGCCGGAGCCCCCGGCTGCTGCTGCTACCCCGGTGGGGGAGGGCACTTACCGGTACAGGGTGGGCCGGGGCTGGCTCTGAACCCCCCCATCCCTGCCCCTTCCACCTGAGGCTCCGCCCCTTCTGGGGGCCAGAGCCGGCCCCAACCCAGCCCCGTACTGGTAAGTCCCTATTTCTACTTTCACCCCTGCCCAGGAGACAAAAATTCCAAATGTTGTTTTCAGTGAAGAAAATGAATGCTTATCATATCTCATTCTTCTGTTTAACAAAGTACTGAAAGCCAAGCAAATGCTTTCTTGGTAGGCTGCAGCTAAAGCACTGAGGAAGGAGAAAGAGAGAATCCTTTTCTCTTTCCTTTGTAAAGCGCCGGAGTTGTAATACCCTTAACTCACCACTGATCCAGTGGACTACATGTGGAGTAAGGTGATACCCTTACTCACACAGTATAAGAATGTGGCCCAAAGTATATATCTTCTTAGCTAATAAGGAACTTTGTGCTGCATGCTAACTTTAGTTACAATAGGCTGAGATATTCATCCCATTTTAAGAAAATGTTTATTCCATGCATTAGTAGGTTGCAAAGCAGAAACCTTTTATTTTCAGGTGCTGGGGCTTAAACCTATGTTGGGCACCAGTTAAATATATTTTGTGATCTCAGATGCCCACTGAACATCCAAGCTATAACTTCCCTGAATGCACACAGTTCAGTACAGATAGAAAGTACATTCAACAGTCTCTGTTCAGGAGAATCCCATGACCAGAATAGCAAGGATGCATCGAATAAAGGTTAAACTGTAATTAGAAAGCCACATGGAGCAAAGTCTTGAGTTTTGACCACTGATGTTGGTAAAACCTCTTTTCTGATCATTAATATTTATTCCAAAATTACACAAAGTTCTTAACTTAAATAAATCAAATATTGTTGTTAATGTCTGTGGAGTTGCATCTAGTGTCTTGCTGTTCTTCAGTAAATGGGATTTGGTTGTAATACCAAAGTATAGCCATCTTAAAACCAAGATGGCCAGCACAAATAGTGCTACAATTAATGATGACTTGTTTTAGCTTGTGAAAGGCATGCGCAGTCTTATGCTGGCAGTGAAATTAGTGTTTCTCTCTTTTCAGGGACACAGACGGAAGGATGCTCTTAGATATTTTTGATGAAAACCTTCATCCCCTTTCGGTAAACTCATCTACTTCTTCTTGTCTTTCATGAGACAAAGTCCACTGCCTTTCCCTGTGCCTGTGTTTTTGATTCAGTCACCTGTTTGAAAATATTTCTTCCCCAGAAATCCGAAGTGCCACCAGACTATGACAAACACGACCCAGAGCAGAAACAGATTTACCGCTTTGTTCGGACATTATTCAGTGCTGCTCAACTGACTGCTGAATGTGCCATTGTCACCCTGGTAAGTGTCTGTGAAATGACATCAATCATTCAACAGATCCACCCTTGTTTCTGTGCAGCTGTACAGAGCTGGACGTTGTTAGGAGTTGGTTCTCATCACACTTTGTGTAGAGACTAAGGAAGTTACTTGAGTTATTTGCTTGGAGAATAAATTATTGAAGTTATTACTGAAGTTTTACAGGAGGCTGTATAGCATGTGTCACAGTTAGGTTTACATCTTGCTCACACAGCGTGATAACATTACAGGCCATTAATATAATACTCAGGTGGGGTAAATGTCTTGGACATGTGGGAATTTTAGATACTGAAACCATTTCACTTTGGTCAGGTTTACTGTGTCATTATAGCTTCCAGCAAAGACTCTTTGACAACTGTCAGTAGCTTAATGGCATTAGTAAGAGTTATGGATGCACAAGGGCTGCATGAGTGACTGGAGCATGTTGGTGGCTGCTGTTTTTACTTGTCGTGTATGTGTCTTTGAGGGGCATGTCATAGCAGTGAACAATTGAATAGCTAAGGATGAAGTTTATCTACCTAAAAATAGAGTGCTAAAGATGAAGGGCCAGATCCATAGCTGGTTTAAATAGGCATAACTCCATTGACTTCATGGGCTAATGGAGGTAGTCCGATTTCCGCCAGCTGAGAATCTGGCCTGAAATTTCCATCCTACTGACCCTGATGAGTCTCTTCAGGTTTCAGGCACAGTTTTTGCTACATTCTTGGCTCAGAGTTTGAAAAAGCAAACATGCTGGTTATTTTCACCTCTTCAGAGTGAGTTTGTAGGGCAGTTTTTACCAGGTTTATTTTTGGGGGACAGGAGGTGAAATTGGAGAGGCAGAGCCTTGACGTTTGACCCCATTCTTCCTCTTTGACAGGCCCTATAGCTTTGCATCTCTTCAAGCCCTCCCTCCCCCTGATAGAGAATAGCCAGTGGGTTTGGCTTGCTCCAGCGTCTGTCAGCACCATTCTTGCTGGTCAGTAGGAGACATGAATATGGGGAGAGTCGTGCAAGGTTCGCTCCCTACAGCCCTTGCTGTTCTGGGCACATGTGACTTGGACATGGGTATTGGAGTGTGCTACTAGTCAACTGCTTGGCCCAGCCACTATCCATAGTTTTATACAATGAGTTTATTGCTCTGTCTCCTAAAGAAATAGTACTTAATTTAAAGAGCTGACTGTCAAATACAATGGAATGATCTTACATGAACTCCTGTTATCCAAATTTACATTCTGTGAGCCATTGTGGAAGAGATTCCTCATTCTAGTTGAAAAGACAGGCGTTTATTATGCATAGCAATAATGTAGCGACTGTGGTTTGCATCAGGCTGTCACAGCACTACTCCATGTTTCCATAGGAATCTTGTTAATGTGGTCACATGGAGGAGAACATACAGTCCTCCATTCCTGTTGTAGAGAAATCATTAACAATAAAACCCCACAGCTAACTGATTTGATTTTGATCATCAGTTAAATATACCGTTTGAATTATTGACGATTCTTTTGTCTTAATTAACAAGCATCCCTAGTGATTGGAACCTGAGACGTGAACTCAAGTGACCTGGGTTCTGTTCCTGGCTGTGCCACTTACTAGTTGTATGAGTTTGGGCAAGACATTCATGGCCTGATGTTCTGAAGTGCAAAGCACCTGTAATTTCCAATGAACTCAACGGGAGCTGCACATGCTCAGGACTTTTCCAAATCAGACCATTAATCTCCCAGTGCTCCCGTATCCCTGTCTGTAAATATGAGGATAATAAATACCCACTTCTGTAATGTGCTTCCAAACCTTTGGATAAAATGTCTTTTATAAGTATGATGCAATAGTATTTTTAATACCATGTTATTCATTAGTTAAATATTCTCCCTTCACCTCTGACTTCCATTTCCTCATATGTCACCATTGCCATCAGTGGGGCCTAGAAACAGATCTCTCTGATTGCATGGAAAGTAATCTTCTTTTCTTTTTTTTTCTTTTTTTTAAACCCTCCTAAGTTGGCTTTGCTGTCACATTACAAACTTTAGCCAAAATCTGCCAAGTGCTTTGAGTTTTGAGATGTTGACTGTGAGTAGAGACCAGCCTCCCCTGCACAAGCCTGCCGTCCGCCACTCATTCCTTCTTCTCGGAGGCTTGCCTGCACTCAGGCAGCATGTCTCTGGGAAAGCGGATCACAAAGCATCTTAAGTAAGAGACTCGAATTATGGGGTTTTTAACAGTCCCTCTTTAATATGTCAATATATTATTAAAAACAAACATATACAAAGATCAAAGTATGTTGGGTGTCTTGAGGTGACTGCACTGCTTCCCCCTTGGCATGCAGGCATACCCTGGCAATGCTGCCTGAGAAGCATGGACAGGTGCACTGGTGGGTTCGATTGTAGTCTATACACCTGATGAAAGAACTAAGTGAAATTAACCCCCAGCCTGTGTCGTAAAAGCTGCTTTCCGGGGGCGGGGGGGAGGGACAAACGAAACTCTCATTGTAATGCTTCAAGTCAGGAGTGGGCAAACTTTTTGGCCCAAGGGCCACATCTGGATATGGAAGTTGTATGGCAGGCCATGAATGCTCTTGAGATTGGGGTGCAGGAAGGGGGTGAGGGCTCCTGCTGGGGGTGTGGGCTCTGTGGTGGGTCCAGAAATGAGGAGTTCAGTGTGCGGGAATGGGCTCCGGGCTGGGGCACAGGGTTGGGGTGTGTGGGTGAGTGAGGGCACCGGCTGGGGGTGCAGGCTCTGGGAATGAGGGGTTGGGGTTGCAGGAGAGTGCTCCTGGCTGGGACCAAGGGGTTCGGAGGGCAAGAGGGGACTCAGGCTGGGGCAGGGGGTTGGGCATGGGAGGGGGCCAGGGGTGCAGGCTCCAGGCGTTGCTTACATCAAGCAGCTCCCCGAAGCAGTGGCATGTCTCCCCCTCCCGGCTCCTACGCGGAGGCGCGGCCAGGCAGCTCTGCACGCTGCCTCGTCTGCAGGCGCCACCCCTGCAGGTCCCATTGGCTGTGGTTCCTGGCCAATGGGAGCTGCTGGAGCGGCACTTGGGGTGGGGGCAGCATGCAGAGTCCCTTGGCTGCCCCTACGTGTAGGAGCCGGAGGGGGGACATGCCGCTGCTTCCAGGAGCTGCGCGGAGCGGGGCAAGCCCCCGACCCCACTCCCCAACTAGAGCGCTGGAGCGGGGCAAGCCCTGGACCTTGCTCCCCGGTGGGTGCTGAAGAGCCAGATTAAAATGTCTGAAGGGCTGGATTCAGCCCCCAGGCCATAGTTTGCCCATCCCTGTTCCAAGTGCTTAATTAAAACATTTCAATTAAAGCCTTTCATATTACAGCAAAACTAATTTATAATGAAACAAAAAGATTTAATTTCCACAAAGCCCTCCAAAGCTGCGAAGAGATTTCTTGTACTGATAGGTGAGGAAATTAATATCCGCGGTTGAGACAGTTAAAATACTAAGTTGCATTATTTATGTTCAGAATAACATCACATAAACTACATTAATTGAAAGAATGAATTTTATTGCTGATTAAAACTCATTTAAATAACATTTTCTGTCTTGGTGAATAGCTGGCTTGTGCTCAAGCTGTGACCTGGCTTTAAGGAAGGAATATTGGGTATATGTTCTCTTCCCTCTCTAGGAGGTACTTCTATCCTTGATGAAACTGAGAGAACGTCATCAGTTTCCACCAAGCAACATTGCTCTCGAGTTTCTATGTTGCTGGTTGGGTGGTTGTGGCACGATCTAGTAAGGTTACTGTTTAATTGGCTAGCTCAGTATAAGTGCTCAGTATTAATATTATCCATAGCTCAAGGAAAACGGGACACTATGTAGGTGTCTTCACTAGTTATATGTTGTCACTTTGTCCTACAAACACAGAAGCAGTCTGATCACTAGAATTGGGGTGGAAGGATGGTCCATTGGATATCAATTCTGTGCTCTGCTGCAGACTTCCTGTGTCACCTTGGGCAAATCACTTAGTTTCTGTGTGCCTCAGTTCCCTATCTGTAAAATGGTGGTGATAGCCCTTCTCTGCCTCTCAGGGCTGCAGTGAGGATAAATACATAAATGATTGTGAGATGCTCAGATAATATGGTAAAAGGGGCCAGATGAGTACCTAAGAGAGCCAAAATTATTCTTTTTTAAATTTAGATGAATATAGATACAAAACGATATTTGTTGGTGCCTAGATCACATTCAGCATTTGTACCACGTTCATCTCCACAGTATGCCACAGCGATGAGAGTATTTTAATTACATAAGAGAGTCAATGTTTGCCATATGAAATATATGGATTTAACGAATCCAACCAAATGTTCCCATGTTCTCCCTATCCTGGAAACAGTCAGGTTTCCAACAATAGAATAAAGAGAGCACTGCAGCGCGGTAAAGAGAAAGTTCATCCCACCTGCAGTATTTCCTCATAAGGAGAGTCTACTGCTTAGTGATTTACTGTCTCTCTCTATCAGGTATTCCTGCAAGACAGTTTCATTATAATTATAGGGTCTCGTGGGTGTGTGTGTGGGGGGGGGGGGAGGGGGGGCTGTGTGTGTACACACATGTGTAGAGAAGAAAAACTTGCCCTCCTGTTACAGGTATTGGTTGCATTTACAGCGAGTATTCCGACTTTTAACTGCCAGTGAAAATTTGTTTAATCTAAAAACATGTGTTTGACTTGCTAAATTGACGCGTGGAGGAGAAGGCTATTTTTCTTTCTGATTATTGATTTTGCTGGGTGTCTGCAAACCATTTTCACCAGATAGGAGTGGATTTTCTTGAAAATAGAAAGGTATCCTTTATGGAGCGGGAAGCCCCATTAGCCATAGTGTGACAGCCCATTGTGAATCACAAAGGTGGTAGCTGAGGTAAGAGGAAGGGGAGGAATGGGTACTCAGTTAGTGAAATATGTCCCCCCACCATACTACTTAATCTCTCCTAGTGACATGAATTCTACAGCTGTCACAGCCCTATTGAATATCTGACAAACTCAAGATATGAAAACCCTTCCACGTGCTGGCCACC